CGGCGGTAGTGAGGTTGGCCCAGGATCGGATATTGTTTCGTTCTGCTGTGCATGGAGTCTCTATGAATCGGTTCCGACTTGATGGCACCTGACAACAACAGCAATACTCTATATGGGCACAGTTACAGTAGCAGCGGTTCAAGTGTAACAAAAATTGTGAGGATGGTGCAGGAGCAGGTAGTGTTCTGTTGTGCATGGGGTCATGATGAGTTACAACTGACTAGGCAACACCTAACATCAATAATATGGGCATTATAAAGTCCATGGAAATCACACAAAATAGAAGCAAGATCAGTGCTACAGAATTAGGGAATAAATGGTTGTAATTTTGAGGAATTTCTTCAATTCATTGTTGAATTTTGACATCATGAAAGGTGGCCTCCTTGAACCTTTTGATTGCCATTGATTGCCTGGTTGTTCAAGCTATATCCTCAGTGCTTTCTGTATGTGATGTGAACTTTGAGAATTTAATGAATTTTGTTCTATTCAACCTGTCATTAATTAAGTGTTGAAAAAACACATTTAAAAGTTCACTGGAATAATTTTAAAGAGATTTTCTTTTCAATTGCTTTACTTTTGCTTGATAAATAAAAATTTTGAAGGATTCTTAAAATCTGAATACATGAGTATGTGCTCATTTCAACTAATTTACTTATAAATTACATGTTACTTAAATGTAAATAAATGTTACATTGTTAAAAATGTTTAAAATTTTTAAATTTCAAATCAAAATCACTCTTAACTATTGAGATAAAGACTAAGTTTTGTATGTACACTTCATATTTGAAATACAGATAATACATATAATATTAAATTTATCTTGGGAGACAATTAGGAAGAAGTCTAAAAAATCAACTCTCGGTGTAAATAATGAAATACAGTTAGAGAAACCTTGATCTAAATGGAATCCTGTAGTATATATTCTTTTGTCATTGATCAAATGGCTTTGATAATTAAACTTGTGAGATTTATCTATGTTCTTATGAGTAGTTAATTTGTTTTCTATGTTATTCAGTACTCTTTTGATGACTATGTTGTTGTTAAGTCCAGTTGGTTCTGATTCATAGTGACAGTGTTTATAGGGTTTCCCAAGAGTGACTGGTGACTTTGAACTGGTGATCTTGCTGTATGATGCTGTTAGCAGTCCAGTGCTTATTCTACAGTGCCATACCAGGACTTCTGCTATTTAATTAGCCTCTTCTTGAAGGATAGTTATTTTTGTATTTTAACTATTAGCAATAATACTCTTTTCAATGTTTTTGTACATGTCTTTTGGCATCTTTGCATTAACTTAATTTGGGTATACAAGGGAGCCTCTGAAATTACATTTTCCATGAACTTTTTGAAACCCATGTACCACAGGAGAAAGATGAGGCGTTCTGCTCCCATAAAGATTTACAGCCTTGGAAATCCTGTACAGGGTCGCTATGAGTCGGTTCCAACTCCACGGCACATAACCACCACCATACCATGGAATAAAATTGTTGGATCGTAGAATATGATCATATTATAGCATCCAGTGCCATAATTATTATGGTTTCAAAATGATTACTTGCTCACCTATAGTGAGAAGTGTTCAAATCTTTCTTTATTGTCTGTAGATTTTTCTATTGTGGGTTAAAGCCCCAGACTGTAAAACTATTTGAACTGCAAGGTCCGTGGTTCAGCTCACCAGCTGCTCCTCAGAAACCCAATAGGGTCGCTGTGAGTCGGAACCAACTTGATGGTACTTAACAACAGCCTACGAAAAAAATTTTGCGTTATGTGGTTTAAAGTCATGTTATTTGGTGCATATAGATTTAGATTTTTTTTTTTTCTTAACTGCAT